CTGCACAGCGTGCAAGCTCTCTGATGTAACCCCCACATAATGGCCCTGGGAATGGGTACTGAAGAAGGTGGCTCTGCACAGTTCAGTGAAGGCAGAGGTGAAATAAGGAGCAGCTTGAGGAAAGCCTGTTGGGAGGCCCAGCAAAAGATGCACCTGCCCTTGTGCATTGGTGGCCAGTGCCTCCAGGATTTTCTTTGGACTGTGATGAATACTGCCTTCATCTTCTGCTGAATAGAATGTGCACTTATTTGTCTTGAAAAAATAAAGCAATGCAGTGGTCTAAGCAGGCAGTCCTTAATCAGGTCATTGCAGAAAGATACATTTCTATATCTGACTGCAACAGAATTGAGGGATGGATCAGAGTCATGGTACACAGGCTTTGGGAATGGATGGAGACCAGACTGCCTGGGTGAGCTGCATTCCTTCTCCTCTTATCCAACTGGACATGCTTTGACATGTTGGCCTCTGTGTAAGGAGCTAGAAATGGGATCCCCATGTCTCAAAGGCTGCCATGACACATCTCAGTGATAGAACAGCCAGGGACATTCCACCTGGTATCTGCAGGCTGAAACTCCTGCACACTGTCACCTCAGGGCACAAAGACCTGCACTAGGTAGTCCCTGTTTGTAAGATGCTAGGAAAAAGGAGAAAGCTCTTGTCTAATACAGAATATTTGTTTTTCTTCCTGGAAAAGATCGACCCAAACCTGGCCTCATTCAGAATAGCAGGCATGATGGATTTTGTACTTCTCCTGCCACTTAGTGGCTGCAATTGATGCAGCACCACATCCTCAATTCCATATTCCTACTTTAATACTTCTGGGATGTGGAACAGCTTTATTTCTCCGTTCAGGTGTAGTAAAACTAAACAAAAGGCATTTCTAAAAAAAGGCTCTCCTGACCCTCATCACTCTGTGCTTTCTCCAGCAGCAGCTCCGGGATTCCTCGGGACTCTTCCCAGCTCAGGGAAGTGCTGTGGGAGTTGCTGGGGGTGGGGGGAAGCAAGAGGCTTTTGCCCATACCTGAACATATCTGTATATAATTGTATATATTTTCTTGTATCATTCATTAGTGTTTTAATTAAAGCTGTGTAGTTTAGTTTTCAATCCAGCCAAGTCTCTCTCTCTTTTTCTCTCTCTCCTTCCCTAGCTGGGTGGGAGGGGGAGGGGATGGAGAGCATTGTCAGGAGAGCTGGAGCGTAAGGGTCGACGGTGATGGATGAACAGAGTCCTCCCCGGACGCCGGCCATGGACGGAAGAGAAGGGAAGAAGAAGGAAGGAAGTTGTATTCTGTGATCTCTGACCTTCCTTTGAGCTTACATAGATATATGGAATGGAATATCTCTGGCCAGTTTTGCTGTCTGTCTAACTCAGCCTCCTACGGGAGGGTCACAGATCTCCCCGCAGTGTCTGAGCCGGCAGAATGAAGGTGCGACCTTGGAGACCCAGCAGTTAGAAAAACGTTCCAGTGTCTTATCAACCTAGCAGAACACACAGTTGCTAGTTAAAAGAAAGCTTACTGAAGGAAAAAAAAAAATCAGTAAAAGGAATATTGGCTTCCTCCTGGCTCAAACCAGGACAGGTATGTTGCATATTATGTAATATGGGCTTTAATATAATATATAATGGGATACTGAAAGGATTTTAAAGGCATGGGGTTCTTTCATTCCTGTCACTGACAGGACCAAGGGAAATAGTCTGGCTTGTCTCTCAGATCCTAGCCTGGCTTTCAGGAGAAATGCAGTCGCAAAAAAAGCTGTGGTTTACTACTGCTTTGATCACACTTAATCAGACAAGCACGACTGGGCAACTGTGCCAGATGCTTTCAGAGGGAATTTATGCTATAAACCATACTAGCCTT